GACTTTTAAAAACCATAGAGACTTTTGGAGGCTCCCTGGGAATGCAGAAGCCATCCAATGAGGGAATAAAAAACAACGGCACGTGACTGACGGCTCAAACCAGCCCTACACAAAGCAGCCATGACTAAAGTCCATGCAAAGCTGTTCCAGTGGAGAAAACGCATTTATGCAAAGAGATTTATGCAAAAAAAACCTGTTGAATAACAGATTTTGCAACCAGCTCACAAGCTGGCTCAGTGCAAGGACTCCATCGGTGGTATCTTTGCGCTTGGCTCTCATCAGGAGACATAACATGCTGATGCAAAGTTTAGCGGGCCCCAGCAGCTCCCATAAAATCCACAGTCATGTGATACCGAGTGACTTATGGTGACTTTTCCACCTAGTTGTTTCAACGGTATCTAAAGCCACGCCTGCGCGACCACGCCAGGCTGCCCACTATTCCTCATGAAGGAGTCGCCACCTGAGCCCTGGCTATTCTTCACCCCCAGGAATAATGCAGCCGGAGGCTTTGCAGAAGTGAGCATGGCCCACACATTTCAGATCCAGCTCCAGTCTTTGCACTGTAGTGGAGGAGGGTGCAGCTGCAGCAGTCAAGGGCAGGTCTAGACTTCAGCATTTGGAGATCTCTGAGTCCAGGCCCACATGCCATATCCCACCCAGGTCAGAGCCACCTGCTCGGTGGCAGCAACATGAGCAACGCGGGACCCCGAAACAGCCAGAAGTTGCAATTTCCAAGCCAGAAGCCTTCTCTCTCCCTTCCCCCCGCACCCACTTTCTGCCCTGCATCCGGAGAGTCTGCAACTGTTCAAGTTGACGGAGATTAATGGGACCTGTACTCACCCAACATCACTAACACGGGCTGCTTCACAGAGCACCGAGCCGTTCCCTCTACCGCCATCGCTCAAACAGGGGAAGGGACATGGGCATAAACAGGTGTCCAAGGGGACCTTGTGCCAGAGGAGACCCAGCCCGCTTCACACCCAGTCCTGCTTCCCAGCTCTGCTTTCTGCCCCCGCACCATTCAAATGCAGAGAAAGGCAGCTGGGGATACCTCCCCCACCCCTGCCTATCCACACAGGGACTTATCCAGACACTTCTCAAGTGCAGAGGGACCACAAATCAAAACCTGCACTCATCTAGGTCTGTATTCTCCGGCCCTGGAGGCAACTTCAGATCTCTTCTGTGCATTGAATGGGGAAAAAAGGCTGCAGAGCAGAACCTGACATGGGTCTGGGCTCCCTTCAGGCCACCCCTTGCTGCGTGTGCTTTAGAAACCTGCCTGCCCCTGGGCACAAATAGCCCATCGCTGCCTCTGTGGATGCAAATAAATGAGGCACATCCCCGAGCAGTCACCAGCTCGCATGTGTTCAGCCAGCACTCATCTGCTAATTCATTGCATGCTAATAAAAAGCCACCAGAATTACAGAGCCTGCCCAGCAATGAATAAAAGGAGCAATGGCTTTCAGATGAAGCAATGGGAGAAGCTCCCATACCGCAGTGACGGGCATGGTATAAACAACTGAAGAGATCCACAGGACAGTCTTCAACTTCCACCCCATTGCTTGCAAACCGCCCCGTGCCCATCCCAGCTTTGCCAACAGCCAAGACCGGAGCTGGACGCCACTCACCCAGGAAATCCACCCCGCTGCTGTCTTTCGGGCTGCTCATGCAGTTCTCCAAGTAAATCCCATCCTTAAAGCAATCGTCCTTCTTCTTGCTCAGCCCCTGGATCTCGCTGGGCTGGTCCAGGGCCTCCCCTCCGGAGCAAGTGCAGGGCGTCTGCATGATGCCACAGGGGTGAGAGCTGCTGCTGGTGGTCAGGCAGGTGTCCAGCCACTTGCAGAGCATTTGGCAAGCAGCTTTGCTAGGGTTCCTGTTGCCCACCACCAGGTACTCCACCGAGAAGTCCCGCTCCTGAGCTTTGGCTGGTTTCCACCGCACGTGCCCGCCGTCTGCCAGGGGCAGGGTCTGCTTCATCTGCAGGAACTGCTTGTTGGACTGGAGGAAAGCAAACCTGGTGGAGGCGTCGCAGAGCTTCAGCACGTCGTCGAAGCTCTCCATGCCCAGGTAGGTGCGGGTGGACTCCAGGAACGAGTCGAACTGGTAGGTGCGGACCTGCTGGCGGTCGCAGGCGCCGGTGGGCTTCAGGACCTTCATGTAGAGGGTGTAGCGCCGGGGGTCGGGGTTCTGGATGATCCACGAGCAGCGCGAGGAGTTGGGCGGGAAGACGGCGAAAGAGGAGAAGTACCCAAAAAACTTCCCTTGGACCAAGGTGGTGCAGGGCGTCCGCGCCAGGTCCAGGGCTACCACGGTCCACACCAAAAAGAGTGGCGAGATCCAAAGCAGGTTCAGGGCAGATCCAGTGCTCCTCATCCTAGGTCTCTGGTCCTCAGGAACGCCAAGGAATGGGCAGGCAGGGGCCAGGTCTTGGACATAACAGGTGCGAGCCCGGCGGGGAAAGCGAGGGCGTCGGAGGCTCCGGGCGAGATCAAGCCGCTCTTCCCATGTCTGGACGCAGGCTCCACCGTGTGGCCATAAGCACTGCCTGGAGATGGAAAGAGATGGAAAATTAACCCATTGCTGAGGCAGCACCACCCCCTCCCCACCCCCGGTGAGCCACCGGGGACACATGGGGTCTCGGTTACCCCAGGGGAAGGCCAGTTACCAACCCCCATCACTGCCAGGCATTGCCTGGGACCAGTCACCCCAATGCTGTAGCCGGGGGATATGCCCTCTCGGTGCAGTCGTGGCTCCTCTGCACCGTGGCACCGCAACCTTCCTCTGTGCAAAGGCCTCTGCCCCCCCGTGTCCGCCTGCCCCCTTCCCCACGCCTCCTCCTCCTTCCCCAGTGTCTTTCATGCAGAAGTGGGTCGTATCTAGTCCAACCCCCGGCCCAAATCATCCCACGTGAGTCCATTTTCTAACCTCCTGCCACAAGACGTCACACCCCAACCTGCCCCAGGGAAAGCGGGGGGCCATGGCAGCCAATGCCCTTCTGCTGCAAAGGCTGCTAATAGATGCGCGAGTGGTGCCAACAAGAAGGGATGCCTCCGCACTACAAAGGAAGGCCACCTCCCCCCCCCCAACTCCGCCTCTGCAGTCTGTACCAATTTGACCATGGGAGAAAAATCCCTTCCTGACCCCAAATATGAGGATCGGTCCTCAAAGCAGAGGGGCAAAACCTATAGCCAAGAACCAGGGAATAATTATGCCGCCCTGCTCCAGGCAGCTGTGCCCCTTCCAGATGCAGGGATGCAGGGCTGCATTAGGGGTGCAGGGCACCCCCCACAGCTTTCCAGAGACACTGGGGAGGCACAGGGAGGGGACACGCATACCTACCACCACCTCTGGGAGCACTGGGCTCCTTCAGGACATGGCTGTGCATGTCACTACCCTGCTTGTCCTGCCCCCTCCAGTCCGCTGCTTCAGACGTCAGCAGCCTCATTGCCTCTGCATGCACCGGGGGGGTCCCCAGGCTCCAATAAGCAGCACTAAACACTGGATAGCTGGTCAAGGGATGTGTCGGGGGGAGGAAACAGGGCCCCATACAGGGTGCAAGGAGAGCATGCTGTAGACAGTGGGAGGGGGAGCCCTGCAGCCCAGGGGCATCCGGCCTTAGCACCGGTGTCCTCCTGGGCCCTCGCTGCTGGCTTTCAGACTGAGCCAGCCTTGGCGCAAAGGCTCTGAGCAACAGGGAAACCCATTGCACCTCGAGGTAAATGCTGCCAGCCTCAGAAATGTCAGCTGTCACAACCAGATGGCACAGAGGGAGCTAAAATACCCCTTCTCAGCACGTTCAGTCCATGTGAGCCACCCCAGGCTTGCACAGGGGTCAGGCAGTCGCTGGTGGGAGGGGGCGTATAGGCTGTAGGTCCCCTCTCCCCTAGCACTTTTGGAGACCTCCAGCCCAGGAGAAAGCTGGGGACCAGGACACAAAACAAAAGCCCTGGCTGTCTTGAAGGGCCCTTTCAGACTGACCCCAGCCCTTTGCAGTAGTTCAGCCAGCTTGCCTTTCCCTTTCTGGTATCAGCAGGTGCTTAAGTTCATGGGACTGCAGTCCAAGCAGTCAAACATTATCTCGGAGCCTAAAGAGGTTTCTGCATGCATCCCACCCAGCAAGCCTTCTCCAACTCCATCCTCCTTATGTACAGCCAACTTCTGGGATGATTATGGGCATGCACTGTATTCAGGTCACAACCAGAGATAGATTCAGAGCCAGGGCTTATAATCCACTCGCAACCTCCTCCTTGCTGTGTGGGAGACATCTTCCCCATCAGCACCCCCACTGCCCCATTGCCCACCCATCTCCTCCCACACTTCAGGGGGGTTTCAGCTCTCGGTGTCCTGCACCCAGTCCACACAGTGGGGGACGTGTCTACGACATCAGCATCGAACCCAGAAGCCACTCAGCCGAGCTGCACCCCGAGGAAAGGCCTTAAAATCAGAGTGAGACCTAACCTGAGACCATCGTGCAGCCCACACGCTTTGCAGGAGCTCCGAGTGCGAATGCAGCTCCAGCTCCTACGGCTGGACTTGGCTCCTGACTCCACCCAAGACGGCAGCCAGACCGCAGGCTGACCTTGCAAGCGAGCCAGCGAGATCCAAACGCCACCAAGTTCGCGGGACCTTGAAACCACATGCAGCTTCTGACGTGGCTCAGGGTTCGGCGAGATTAGGTGCTCATGCCAACCCATTTGTATTTTAATCTTGCAGAAATCCGACTCCCAGCCCGGGCCCCAGCTGGTCCCCTGCCAAATGTGATAGCGCCGTCCCCGCTGTGCCAAGCGCTTCAAACTCACCAGATTTCCAGCATGCTCCGAATCGCGGTGCCAGACCACATTGCGGGAGCAGGCAGATGAAAGGGGGCAGGACAGATGCTCACTTGCAATGTGGACCTGGCGCCCATCTCCTTGGCATGACCTGAGACATCTTTAATGAGGGATGCCATTTGCAAAGAGGACGGCTCAGGCCCTCAGTGAGTGCTGAGATCGCTCAAAGGGAAGGCAGCCCACTCCCCAGAAACTCTCCCCGGCCATATCGGGGCATTTTTAACCTCTTGGTCCATCTCCCCATAAAACCCACTCCCTTTAGTGGCTGGGGAGGAACATTTTATAGCAACCAAAGTGTCTGGAGACAGAAGCAGGCATTGGGACTGGGGCAAATCTGCTCATTTCAGGGCCAAATCCCAACTAGATACTCCACAACCTGGAGCCTCCAAGTCTCCCGTCCCCCCCCCGCCAATGTGGGTTTGCTCACATGAAGGGCAGCCTAGCCCCAGCTCCATAATAGCAAGCCCCGTGCCACCCAGGAGCGGCCCTCGCTCTCCAGGATCCATGCTGCGGAAGCCAACAAACTTTAACGACGACGCCCCGTTAATGGGATGCCGCGTTACGGCTGTTAGGCCTCGGAATTGATTTCCCCTGAACAGAGTCCCATCTGGAAGGCTTTACCATCAACGTATTTTTTTTCTCCTTCAACTGATCCTTGCTGAAGTGGGAAATTTTAAAAGGAAGGAAACAATAAACACGTAAACACCTGGATCTCCGCTGCGTGGGTGGGGATGGCAGGATGCAGCGCTCCTGCATCCTCCTGCACAAGGGGGTCAGCAGATCAAGACAGTGGTTTTAAGAGCAGCGTGCAAGGGCAGACCGCCCTTGGCCGCAGGGGACAGGGGTTGCAACCCCTAGCGCTGCTCTCCTCTCTCTCTGCGCCCATCCACAGCGGGATCTGTTGCTAACAGGGCTTCTCCTGTTAGGATCTAAACTACAGGTTGCCCGAAAATGCAATGCAAGCCCACTGAGTCAGCCACAGTCCAAGGAGAAATGGATGAACAAGAGTCAGATTGTCTTTATAATCACCAAAAAGAAAGCAGGTGTCTGACAAGTTCAGCATGGACCCCCCCCCCCCAAATGGCATGGGTAACAGAGACAAAGCAGAAGCCGAAATGCAGACAGGATCTGCCAAATGTCTTAGTCCCCTCAGGTCAAGAGGCCCAGTCAAGTCGTTGTTTTCTCCACTGATTAGTAGTTTGCATGCTAATCACACCCAAGGTCTGAGCTTCCTTGGGCTGGTCAAACAGGTGTCCCCAAACACCTTGCAGTCGAAGCACAGAGGGACTGCACGCCTCTCTGTTCCCATGGGCAGCCTCGCCTGAAGCCGTGCAGGGATCCTGCAACAGAGCTGGGCATTGAACCCCACACCCAAGTCCTGGGCACAAACCTCGACTGCAAGGCCATGCTTTCTTGCCAGTTTGGGCAATGCCGGAGACTGATTCCCTCGGGGAATCTCCCCTCAGCGCAGGAGGGGCCATGACCGCAGGTGCACGCTATCCCATGCAAAGAGAGGGATGGCTTTGAGGGATGTGCTTGCAGCTCCCTGTGGAGACAGGTGCCCCCCCAGCCCCTTGCTCGTCACTGCCGCTCCTCTCAGCTCGCCTGCACCTGCCTTCTCTGTCTGCTTGAACCCAACATAAAATCGGAGCCCCGGGCTTCTCTTCCCGACACCTTCCAGATGAGCCTGGACCGTCTCCGAGTCCATTGAAGAACGCCATAGCTTCTCCCCCCATACACACCCCATGGACCATCAGGGCTTCAAGCATCACATCAACAGGAGCAGGCCGAGGGGCTGCGCGCTGCCCATGCGTAGGGTCTGTGCACACACGCAGATGGAGAATCCTCTTCCGACAGGCACGTATCAGGGCTTATGACTCATAATGTGGCATTTCCCAATGTGCCCGGCAGAGCGCAGTGTTACCCCAGCGTTAGATGCACGCTCAGCAAGGCCGGACCACTCTCTGCCTCGTCTTAATCAAGAAAACGACGGCAGAAAGTTTGTCTCCCTGCACAAGATTTCACAGGACAAAGGAAGCGCCTTGTCCCCCACCTCCCACTCCCTTCTCCCCGGCTCGGGCAAGCTCTATGGTGTCCCTGGGTCTCCCTGCTCTGCTTGCCGGCTCTGATGTGCCACATTAAAGGAGTCTGCTGCCTTCTATTTCCCTCTTTCCTTCCTCTGGAGCATGGCTAATATCCTGGAAGGATGAAAACCCTGCTAATCAAACAAAGCTAATCCTTCTTCCGCAGTGCTTCCAGTGCCTTCAAGAAATCAGCCGGCATCACACAGAGCTCTTTTCTGATGGTGGCAGACAGCTAACTAGTGCGTGGCCCTGGGAAAAAAATGAAAAAAAGCTCTCTCTCTTGTTGCCGCCTGAAAAACATCAACTCCTTAATGTCCTTATTCACAAGGAACTGCAAGCAGGGAGAGCTGGAAGGGCTGGGAACGTCTCGCCTTTCTGCTAAGCAAGCAAGGGTGCCTGGAGCAGCACCCAGAGGGTCGCCGTAATGCTGATGGGGAGGCTGCAGTTTGGCCGGGGTGGATCATGCCGGTGTTTTGAAGGCTCCCTTGGGGGAACAAAATGAATAGCAAGCATAGCCGGCGCTTCCCTGCCATGGACCCCAGCGCTATCTATGCCTCAGCTGACTCTCCTTTAAGGAGCCTGTCAAGTCAATCCTGTCGATGGTGAGCTCTTGCACCATGCGGAGAGATTAA